AATAACGCGCCTTAGGTAGTGAGCTCAACAAATGAGTTGAACTGTTTGTTAATACCATGTGGTTCTTTAGTTCCAAGGCGAAATATAGTTTCCTCCTCGACACGCCTGAGCTGATTTTCGTTGCCATTGACAACACATACACCAGAAATAGACATATCTGTAATATTATGTCCACTAGAATTAAAATGAAGTGAAACCGGATAATAACGATTTTTCTGTCTAGTTTGCCGTAGATGCTCAGCAAACCGATCACCCAGTCGACGAACTGTAGAACCAATATAAAGTTTCCCGCATTTAATACATGAAATGCAATATACAACATTCATAGTGATACAACTGAACGGATATAATTTTTTGTGATTCTAACTTATAGTTCATGCGCGTTCTTACGTTCCTATGTTCTACCTGTACGTTATAACACTTTCTTCTATGCTATCGATAAAGAGCCATTGCTCGAAACGTCTAGCTATTTTTAATAATTATTTAGGACTACGATTACCAAATATTATCTTCTATATATCTGGATTGTGGGAAAATCAATGTTTATCAACACAAATGTCGTACATACGCAGCGCGACGACCACCGCGCTTTAAGTATATACAATCGAATCGATAAAATAAGTAGGTAACACCACATGACATCGGAAAGTTGTTTCGGGCTTCTCCTTCCGTTTTGGTTACCCATACACAAATAAATATTGTAAGGAAACATTTTGTGATGCATTGAATACCTCCCAGAAAGATATTTTCCGAATTATTTTCTGACAAAGTGCTGTGAGCTTACACACCAGTCCTACTCTAAGTACAACTTACCTATAGTCAGTCAGATGATCGTTTTCCTCGCTGTACGTTGATTGGGCTCCGAATTGCCAACCGTACACGCCACCACGTGGCTGGTGACGAATAAGACCTAGAAACAAATAAGAAATATTTAACATTGTAAATTTATCTCCGAATAAAAAGCAAACAAAACATATTCATATAAAAAGAGAATTTGCGGCAAGATAAATGGATACATGTGACACTTAAAACATATTTCATGTTCAAGGGCGTCACGTTGATTATCATAGCGCGGTCACGTGGTGGAAATACAACCCTATTATTGGCTCGGAGTCTATAATGAACATCCAGTGACCTCGATTGCTTTATCGCTACAGTCTCCGACGTTCGATTAATTGCTGTGTATACTAATTGGTTATAATAACACATATACTTCATCAGTGTCGAACAATGTTATGTTCGGAAAAAAATATGGACCTCGGCTGCTGAAAATAAAAAAAAATGTTCGATAAACGGCACAATACGTCAGTATAAATGGCGAACATCGTAACTGGAGATCTGAGTTTTTATTTACTCAAAATTGAAATGGTTTCACCTAAGTTTTGCCGTTTGAAATTGATGTTAATCCGTAAATATATTTTTACGAAAAACATAGAAATGAACATATGAACAAATAAAGTGCAAACAGGGACAAAGTGAATAAAAAAATGAACAATATAAAAGAGCGAATGAACAAATGAAATGCAAACATAAACAATAGAAAGGGACATACGAACAACGGAACTAGTAACATGATTAACAGAAATAAGCACTTGAACAAAAATAGAAATAGAAAAGGTAATATATAACATAACTCGGAAATGCAAACATGGACAATAAAAAAAGGGAAGAACGTGAATTGTGGAACGCAAGTATAAACAACGAAAATGGACACATGGACAATGGAAGGGAACACATTAAAAATAACAAGGGAATTGGTACATGGGCAAATGGTAAAAATGGTAGAAAATTGTAGAAAGGGAACATGAATATGAACAAACAGTCTGTCGGCTGAGATAGCTCCGCTGTTAGCAAGGCACATTTCAATTAAAGAACTGAAGATATCATTAGAAAATGAACAATATGTATAGTATCAAAGTAATCAGATTTACAGGTTTTCAACAAGAAGTCGAAAATATAAAAAATGACAAAAATATTTACCAAAATTAGAGAATTAAAGCTATCACCACGAAATGAACAAATCTGAGAAAGGTCCACATGTAATATCTATATATGTATTATCAAAGCAATTGGACTTACGGTTTTTAACAAGAAGACGAAAATATCACTTTTTACCAAAAATTACAAAAATATTCACCAAAAATAGAGAATTTGAGATTTTGACATGAAATAAACAAATCTGAGAAAGAACTATCTAAGGTACCTGCATATTAAATTTGAAAACATTCTGACTTGCGGTTTTGAAGAAGAAGTTGAAATTGTAAAGTTGACGACGACGACGACGACGACGACGATGGACGACGACGGACAATCAGTAATATTAACAGCTCCGCTGTGTCGACTCTGTCGACAGCGGAGCTGATAAAATAACCTAAAATGGGAACAAGAATAATGAAATTTGTATTATTGACGTGGTTCCCTAAAGTTGTTGAGGATGGGACCCATGTTTATTCTCACGAGGTGCCTAGAATATATGTTGTACAGAGATGTACGTCGTAACAGTTTAAATACACTTTTATACCTGTGTAATTTAAGACTCTACTATAAACGGTCGGTGACTCCCCTCGTTAGAATGAAATGGTCCACGGAACGGATTGTTGACCAACAAGTGGCTCTATTAGATGAGATTAGAAACTTTTGGTACACGACTGTCAGAGAAAAATTATTAATACTGAGTGTGTACATCTAATATCTAGATGTCTGTACAAGTACGCCTTGATTATGTAGGGCTCTTCGATCCTATGTACTAACAATGACGAATATCCCCACCCACGGATTTATGGGAAGGCGCGCCAGGCCCACCTCCCCTTCATCCCGCAAAACAAATTGACAAATCAATTGACAAACCTAGCCCACCGAAGGCGCGCGGACGTGGCCTCCGTCAATAGGAGCCCCCCCCCCCGAATTTCTGGATCAGCCAGTGATCGCTGTCTGCGGCTCCGACGCCGAGTGCAATTGACGTTAAACCGGCTTTACGTCGAGCTGGCTGTTTGCGAAGATTGGTTCAACACATCGCTGACAGCGACTGCTGTTTGTGCATCTTCGAGGAAGCCACATCACGTCAACATATTATTGGAACTGCTGTCGGATTTTATCGGACGTCAAACTACTGACGAGCTATGTCTCCGACGCATTGTAATTTTGTTCTGCCTTATCTGGGCAAACCTTCAGTGCCTTTCGATTATATTGACAAACTACTTTTTTTTATTTACAGTAAAAAATAGTTTTTTATCCTTTACGTATAAAGCAAATTACATTTTACATTTTTATAATATACTTGATAATTTGTGTTTCAGAGTCAAAATTGGAAATTGCGTACGAATTGCGACATTTAATGTTGAAAATGTTTTATACGCTTACAAAAAATAAGATTTTTGTAAAAATTACGAATAAAATAGCTGGTTACATTTTACACCTTGTCCATGTCTACAAATTTACACTTTTATTTATTTAAATTACATTATTACGAAAATAAAAACAATTGATTACAGCTTACGAAAATACCCCTTGACAAAGATAGTTTGATTTTGATTCCTGCAAATACCTCTTGCCGACCACCCATAAACACATGCTTGCCAGCTCAAACTACTACAAAATGGATGTAAACAGATATGCGGTCAACCACCAATGACCATCTTCTAATAAGAATAAAAAGCAGGCAGAAATGGGGT